AAAAGATACTAAGTATGTACGGATATCCTGGTCGTTGTACTGTAGTCGATGCGACGTCGTAATCCAAGATGCACGTCTGAAACGGCAACAGCGTCGACTGGTAGTGGCCCAAGAACGAGTCCACGGACTCCGATAGCCGAGTCATGTGCCGCGCGGTCACGCAATACCCGTTGTCGTCGAAGGTAAAGTTGGAACTTGTGCTCTGTGATCCACTCCTTGCCGAATTTTCGCGTGGCCGGGTCGTTCAGCAGTGACGCGTGCCTCCACGAGGTGCGATTGTGGTGGTTGAGGGCGTACATACCTTGATGTGATGCGTGGCGGTCCAGTGATACATCTCGCGAACCAGCGCTTCATGCTCGACGAGTTGGGCCTTCAGCGCTTGGTTCTGAGACTCGGACAGCATACGAAGGTCTGCCAGAGACCTCGCCACTTCTTGCCACGGCAGGAGAAGCAGACTCCGGGCTAGCCGTGTGGGGACAGACTTGTGTAGGACAGACCGGATGTGTTGTTGTTGTTGTATTATAGTTTATACAGACAAAACTATATGAGGTGGTAGTACGTCTTAGGCCGGGTTATGGAGGAGATCGAAGTCCAGGTAGTCGTAGTAGGTCGCGGCTTCGCTAGGAGGGAGGGGGTCACTGTCTGTAGTTGTATTGTAGTCGCGGCGGTCATCAGGGGCTTGTTTGGAAAGGAAGTCGGCAGCCTGGTTGAAATCGCGCGGGCGATGTGTAAATCTACAGAAGAGGCGGGATGCGAGGGAGCGTGCTTGAAGGTAGGAGGCACGGAGCCCCGGATGGCGAACGCGGTGGAGGCCGCGCATCTGGTTCAGAACGAGTTGACTATCGCCGCAAACCTCAACGTGGGTGAGGCGCATAGATACCGCGAGTGTGAGGGCCCGGATGAGCCCATCATATTCAGCGATATTGTTGGTGGTCGTGGTCGGGATGTAGTGAGCATCATATTCACTCAAAAGGGGTTCATGTATGGGCATGGCGATGGCGCCAGATCCTCCACAAGCTGTGTCCGATCTGGAAGCACCATCAAACAGGAGGAGACCCACGCGTGGCGGTGTGGGAGGCGGGGTAAGGTGTCCTGCCGTCGCTCGCCGGCACTGCTGCACAAGGGCGGTGAACGCTTCGGCGCGGAGCTGATGGCAGCGGCGGGTGTGGTATGTTGCGAGAGCTTGGAAGTGAACCATGGCCAGGCTGGGGAGCGAGGCCGGCAATGTAGGAGGGTCGAGAGGGTTAGCATGGATGGCGTTGCAGCGGTCCGTCCATAGGAGGCGCAGCCCGAGGGATCTGAGCAGTAGCCACCCCTGGTGGCAGACATTGTCGTATGCAGTTCCGTGGGTGGTCCACCGAGGGGCCTGTAGCATCCATGGGGCTGGACGAGGTTGTTCATTGGTGATGAGGGCGGCGGTGTCGTCGGACGGCCTAGCCGCTGTTGTCCCGTACCTTATAGTGAGGAGAGTTGTCCATAGTTGCTGTGCCCTGGGGCACCACCAGAACGTGTGGCTAGGACCATCAGGAGCCTCGCAGAAGGGGCATCGGGGCGCCGCCGCCGATTGTTTGAAGCGAAAAGCTTGGAAATGCCAACGGTATTGGAACCATGGAAGGCTTCCAGGGAGGTGCACCTCATGCCATGTCTTTGTTCAACAGAGTGAAGCAACTCATGTTTCATTCCGGTGCTACAACGCATATGTTTAAGACGATTGCTGATAAGTGCAACTTGTATTTGGATGTGAAGACTTACAAGACTGACGGTAAGGATGGTAAGGATAAGAGCTTCACCCCCACTAAGTGTGGAAACCCCAAAAACCCAAAATTTAACCTCGGAGTAACTCCAAAGCATGTGTTTGTAATTAAACCAACTCGCATTACAAAAGCCGCTTTGGATCGTCCAGACCTTGTTAAAGAACTCAAGCGAACTGATTTGACAATGCGCAATGGGAAGCCAACATTCAGTACAAATCAAGTCAACTTCCTCGATAGCTTTCAAGTGATTACGCATCTCTACCACAATCGTGACGATCTTCTCATTCCCATCACTCAGAGCAACACACCGAAGCTTCTCAACAACAACTATCAAAAGGTTACCACACTGTCGGAACATGATTTCGATGAAGCCACATTCCGAGAAATTGGTCGAATCGCTAACGAAGCTGGTGGTGTGAAGATGTATGGTAGCTCACCATTCAATCAAATCAAGGTTAAGAAAAATGGAAAGACCGTACTCTACGATGTGAACGACTTCAACGTTGTCTACTTTGACTTTGAAACTCTACCCAATAAAAACAACGAACATATTGCTTACTGCTGTTCATTCAAGATATTGAAATACAAATGGCGAAAGCTCGTCAGTATTGGCGATACTAAGTGTTTCTATGATTTTGATTGCGCTGAACGTTTCCTTGAAGCACTCCCAGAGAAGAGTTGCAAATATTGTGGGCTCACAATGCTGGTTTCGATCTCCGATTCATCTTGAAGCATGTAACTGGCTTCTCGGAGAAGTCTAACATCATTGAGTGTGGTACAAGTCTCAAGCAAGCTCATTGCTTCTACAAAGGTCGTGAGATTGTCGTTAAGTGTTCGAAGAGTTTCATTAACAGTGCTCTAGCTGAACTCCCAGAGATGTTCAAAGACGCTAGCAAGGGCGCTCTCTTGATAAGGAATCATTCCCTCACAAGCTTATCAATGTAGACAACTTTCAATCAATGTGGCCACTCGAATACTTGGATTCATTTGACGACAAGGAAACGATGATTGCAAATGCTACTAAGATTGGTACTATTAAAAACGATCTCCTCGAATGTACAGCAATATGCCACACATTATTGCAACCGTGATGTTGACGTTCTCTACAACTGCTTTGAGGCATTCAGAGTCATGTTCATTGAAAAGTTTAAGATTGATGTTTATCGTTTCATGTCAATCCCATCAGTTGCATATGCAGTGCAACACAATGAAGGTTGCTTTGATGGATGTTACTCTATGAATGGAACAGTTCTTGCTTTCGTGCGACAAGCAATCGTCGGAGGTCGCGTCATGACTCGCGACAACAAGAAGTGGCATACCAAGCATCAAGTAGATGACTTCGATGCTGTGAGTCACTACCCCAGCGGACAGTCGATTCTCCCCGGATATGTGAAAGGAACTGCAAAGCTCTTAAAGGATATCATTCCATCAGATGCTGATTACTACATCGCAGATGTTCGCATTGATTCTATCGACATCAAGCGTCACTTTCCATTGCTTAGCATCCAAACCGAGCACTCTCGAAACTTTACGAATGACATTGTAGGACAAACCACTCGAATTGGTAAGCAAGCTCTTGAAGATATTGTTCAATTCCAAGGCGTTACTTACACAATCATTCAAGGTGTTTACTGGAATGAAGGTTTCAACACTCAAATCATCACCACAGTGAAATCACTCTTTGAAGAACGAGCCAAACTCAAGAAGGAAGGTAATCCTCTACAAAACGGCATCAAACTCCTTTTGAACTCTGCATATGGGAAGCTCATTCAAAAGCCAAAGGAGAAGTTGCTTGTCAAAGGTGCTGACAAGATCGCTGAACATACTCATAAGCAGATTCATAAGATGATCTCGCGAACTCCTATCATCACAAGCACTGTCATTGATGAAAATGGAAATGAATCTACTCAATTGGATCTCGCTCTATTTGAAGAGCACAAGTATCTATACGACCATTACAGCCCAGCTCATCTTGGAGTGCAAATCCTAGATGCTAGCAAACATATCATGAATGAGGTGATGTGCCTGGCTGAAGATCTCGATATGAAGATTTGGTATCAAGATACTGATAGCATGCATATCGATCGAGACTCTGTCTCCAAGTTGGATGATGCATTTCAAGCTAAATACGGTCGCAAACTCATTGGAAAAGGTCTTGGTCAATTCCACTCAGATTTTGCGGCTATGGATGGCGCAAAAGGCAACATCTATGCAAAAGAATCGATCTTCATAGGTAAGAAGTCGTATCTGGATGTTCTCGCTTGTGATGGAAATGCTGTTGAGGGATAACATATCCGCATGAAGGGAATTCCGAGTAAGGTTCTTGCGAAGGATACCTATGAGGCATATCAGAGCCTCTTTAACAGCAATGAAAAGGATTTTGATATCGTTGAATTCTGCCCACTTGATATCAACAACAAGACACAGCGTGTGATGAAGCGTCTGAAGTTCTCCCGAAAAGTAAAATTTGAAGGTGAAGGTATTGTAGTCAACAAGAATGAAATGTCTGAGTCTGAAAATAGTGAATTGTAGATATGAGTGCGCTTCTCAAGAAACTCTATTACGATCCAAAAACAGGATTCATCAGTGCGACAAAGCTCTACAAGAAAGCGAAAGCAATCGATGAATCAATCACATTGAAACAAGTACAAGCTTGGTACAAATCACAACCAAGCATTCAACAACATGCGGCGCAAAACAAGCAATATCCGCAATTTCATATCACATCGCACAATCCGCACGAGTGGCAGATGGACTTGATGTTTATCAATAGTGACCGCAGGTCACAGGGAACCTCCGGTTCCTACAAGCAACCCATTTTAATAGCTGTGAACATCAATAGTCGAATTGGCTTCGCGAAGTTGCTACCAAACAAGCAAGGACCAACTGTCCAGAAAGCAATCAACCAATTTATCAAGCAACATGAAGTCACTGCTTTGATGTCGGACAATGGCTCTGAATTCACAAACAACAATGTCGAAGCATTCCTTGACAAAAATGATATCAATCATTCAAATGCAGAGCCAGGAGATCATACGGTTCTTGGGAAGATTGATCGATTCATTCGTACTATCAAGATGCGACTCCTAAGGATGAACACACACATAACTCAGAAGCTTCTCAACGACGTGATCTCTAATTACAACGATACAGTTCATTCCTCCATCAAGGCAACTCCAAACTCCATGAAAGGTAAAGTTATCTTCTCAGAGCTGCAACACAACAAGAACATTGTTGAACAAGTACAAGCAGGCATACCAAAAGGCTCCATGGTGCGCTACAAACTCCTATCGAAGACGTTTGACAAGGAGGGTGCTAAGTACTCGAAAACAGTATATGAAGTTGTAGGATTGGACGGACTCAAGATGCACATCAGATCGAAGAACAATCATGTGCTGTACAAACCTGTGAATGATCTCAAACTAGTCGATGCGGTAATTACATCAGACGATGCAACGCGCAAAGACAACATCCATGAAGTAAAACGCATTTTGGAGCATGAAAAGTTAAAGAACGGGAAACACAAGTATCTTGTTGAATGGACTGAGCCGAGGTCGAAGACCTCTCGGGGCTCTACGAGCCCTTCTGGTGATCAAACATGGGAACCTCAAACAAATCTTCGCATCTTTAACAAGAATCGACGATCTGAATTGGAGAATCGATACTGGAAGGAGCGATCATGATTGCAATTAATTAACGAATTCTTGATAGAGTTTCTCTACTCAAAATATAACGACTTGATTGAAGAACAACGTTTCAAACAACGAATCATGTTTCCATCATTCTCAAGTTTGAGTGAGCGTAAGAAGCGACCCCAAGCGTTGCAAGACAAGGTCGAACAAAACAAGCGAATTGATGCTATCAAGCGACAAGCTTATGCAAATGCAATCTTTGCAATTGACAACACGAACAAGATTGGTAATCTGGTTCCTTCGAAGTTCAGTATTGAGACTCAAACCAATCTACCAGCAGTAGCTGCTGCGAATGATCTGATTCCACTCCAAGTAGCGACTACTGCAACTTCTATGACTCCGACGCAAGTAGCGACGACTGGTACTAATATGACTCCATCAAATGATGTAGCGCAGCGAGAAGTTGCACAGGCAATTGAAACTGCTGTGAGGAAAGCTACGCGACAGATCATTATGGATCGAGCAACGCAAGCAGCTGCGACAACTCCTCTTCCGATTACTCCATCAAATGCTGCAGCTCGACGAGAAGTTGCGCAGGCAATTGAAACTGCAGTACGAGAAGCAATCGAAACTCCTGCATCTCCAGCCCTCGAGGCGAAACCAGCTACTTTGCGGCGATTGAGTTCGATGGATTGGCAATACCGAGAAGCGATTCGCGAGAATTTTGCAAACAATCATGATATTGCTCACACCATTAAGCTACAACCGATTATGAAATCGAATGGAGTGTCAGATTCGTTGACTGTTGTAGGAGCCGATGGTGAGCTTTACAAGAAGCGATCATATTCATATGGTCATCCATCTGCTAAATCTACAAATGATCCATCACTGTACGATTGGGAGGCAACTCATAATAGCTTGATTGAGAAGTTTGAGAAAATCAGAGCAAGCGACAAGCCAGTGAAACCTAAAGAAGGGTCGCGAGTGCCGCTGGCAACGTCAAGCAAACCTGCACCCGCTCCGAAAAGTGGTCCAAAGACCATTTCTGGGAAGAAGGCAAAACAGCATATTGGAATGCTCGACGCTGGCGATGAAGTAATTCAGAATTTGGGGTCATTGTTTGATGATGCGGTGGACGATCCTATGACTGGCAAGGGTCTGAGCTCGGAGAGCTCGGGAGACCGTCGGTCTCCATTTCGATTGAACAAACTCATGGGAAGAGGTTTCAAAGGCGGTACTGCTCGTGAAACCATGAATAAGGATCATCTTCAAAAGCAAATTGGCACTAAATTCGTCGTCCTCAAGGCATTGCGAGAAGGGTTCCTTGTGTTGCGATATCCATCGGGTACTTCGGTCGCTCGAAAGCTTCCAATCTCTCAAGCAGTTGCTGACGTTGTTGATGATGTGATCACTGATAAGAAGTTTGATATCAATCGATACAACCAATTGTCCAACAATGATAAGAAGAGCATTTACGACTTGTTCAGGATCACGCGTTACGATCAAACGTTGCGAACGCCACTTCTAAACCCGTATGAGTTGGATGAGGCTGAGAAGTACATGCTCGAACTTGCGAAGCTCAAAGGACAGCTTGAATTGGGTAATCGTAACGAGCGCAATATTCAAGAGTTTTGCAAACTTTCATCGCATTTGTATAAATTGGGTGCTCTATCTAACAAGCAGCTGCAAGAAAACATTGCACTATTGTCATGAGGATCAACGTAAGACTACCATTGAAGAAGCAAGCAAATACATATGCGGTATATCAGGAAAAGGCTGATGATAATGAAGAGGAACTCTTGAAGAAGATGCAGAACTTGGTTGTAAAACACGAAGCTACGACGAGTGGTGCTGGAATGGCGATTAAGAGATTCGCTAAGGGTTTCAAATCATCGTCTAAGATTAACAAACCAAAGACGTTCTCTTTGTAAAGCACATTATTAATATTTTTTATGAAAGTTCTCTGAGACATTGATATAGAAGCACAATATGAAGACTGCAAGCGGTTACCAAGTTGTAAAGGTCGGTAAGATCTCCGATGCGAAGCTTAAGAAAGCGTTGAAAGGTGGATCGCTGACGTTGTCTGCTGCTGAATTGAAACCTAACGATTACTCTTTGTTACTTCATCCCGAAAACGCGAAGAAGGTAATCGCTGCCCAGAAGGCTAACAAAGGAACGCGAATCCAAATTGCTCGCGGAGAGGTCGAGCATAACAACTCTGAGCTTCAAGGTGGATCGATCTTCTCATCGATTTGGAACTTCCTAAACGGGAATGCGACTCCATTGCTTGATATCGCCGCTAACGTGGCAACTCCGTTCGTCGGACCTGCTGTGGCAACTGGGGCTCGCGAACTAGCTCGCTCAATTACTGGTAAGGGCTTGAGCTCGTCGAGCTCCGGAGGCCGAGGGCCTCATTTTCCTAAAGGTAGTCCTGAAATGAAAGCGAAGATGGCAGCTCTCCGCGCTAAACGAAAGACGAAGACTCTCCAAGGCGCTTCATTCCGCCTAGCGTGAGTTAGATGCATTACATAAAAAAAAGAGCTTCAAGCTCATCACTTTTTTGTGCTACGAAGAAGAAGGTGCACGTTTATGTTGTTATCTCGAAAATAGACCGACTGACCATCTTGATCCGAGATATTAACTTCTATGTATGACTTAGCCCCGTCGGTTACCGAAAGCCACGCCAATTTATTAGGTTTGACTGCTATCATTTGGCCGATTGTAGTGCCTTGAGTAGTAAAAGTCGTTAGAATGTCCGGTGGCATGGTATAGGCGTTTGAAATTAAATTGCAACGAACTGTGTAACTACTCACAGGGTTAAGCTGCGGAGCTTTCGTGCTTAGGAAACTAAGGTTACCACTAGAAGGCGTCGCTGGCATTGTACTTGGTTCGAATCCAAGCAAGTTCCCAAATTCAACGCTAGGAATTACCATACGCATCGTGAGGCCGCTCGCAGGCAACCCAGAACCACCAGTACTGTAAAGCCCAGTTGGAGGTCGTGTAAATCCAGCTGGAAGGGTCGTCGGAATGGATTGAACATCGATTTGAATAGAATAATACGTAGGATTAGCGTAGACCTTCATGAAGTAGACGTTGTTCTTCTCACTGTCGATTAGATAAGCTCCGACTTCAATAAGCTTCAATTGAATTGCGTTGTTCAAATCATCAACCTCAAAGTAACCATCTTGCAACGTCATTGTAACGGTTGCAGTTGTAGCGCCAGTAGGAATGATCAAACTGAATACATTGTTACGATAATTGGCAGCATCGATATTGAATTGCGAGTTGTAGAGTTGGATGCTGGCAAGCGCGACTTCTTGATCCTTGAAGTTAACACTCGAGTTGTTCAGTTCGAAACGAAGTACATTGTTTGTACGACTGATGATGTTCTTACGACCAAGTGCGATTAGTGAAGACATTTTGTTTGTATACTGAAGCGCAGAAACTATTTGAAGAATTCAATTACGAAACTCGCGAGTTGAAATTGACACTTGTATGGATTAGTATAATCAAACGAAAAGAATCATGAAAGGTCGCGTGTACAAGATCACGAATGATGATGAAAGCATCGTCTACATCGGCAGCACGATGTATACAGTACAAGAAAGGTGTTGGGGTCATATCTCCGCATTCAACAAATGGATGAAGGGCGACGCTAGATACGCGGCAATGATCTATCATCACTTCAAAGAGCATAGTATCGACTCTTTCAAGATTTCTCTTGTAAGTGAACATGAAATTGAAGACATTAGCCAACTTCGTGAATTTGAGCAGCTTGTCATCGACAAAACCAACTGCGTCAATCGATATGCTGCATTTCGATCTGAACAAGATCATAAGGAATACCAAGCGAACTACTACCGCGAGAATCGTGAAAAGTGGAATGAAGCAAATCAAAAAAGACGAGAAAATGGTAGCAAAGCGACTTGTGATAAGCTGTATTATGAAGCTAATCGAGAGACAATCCTCACAAAGAATAAAGAGAAGTTCAATTGCCCTTGTGGTGGAAAGTACACGAGAGGTGGTAAGTTACAGCATGAGCAATATCAGAAGCATCGTAGATGGGTTGAATCACAGCAGTGAGAGTCTCTTCTTTTTTTGTTACAATTCCTTAACATCTATGATTTTATTGAAATTAAAGCGTAATTGCGCATTGATTGAATCGACTAGCAATACCTGTCCCTTCTGAGAGGTTGCTTGATTGTATGCTTGAAATAGCTTTTCCTGCGTAATTCCTTCGATAGGAAAGTCTTTGAGTAACATTTGAGTAACATTTGCAAGTCACGCTTTGAATTGGCTTTCAAAATCATGACTATCTCGCTATTGAGTCTAATAATTTTGTCCGTTGCAAAGTAGCTATGACTTAGGAAGATCGTAGAGAGTAGCTTGTGACGTCCACGTGTAAAGTAATGTGAGAACAGATCCTTTTGAAGCTTTCTATCGTTAGAGTAGTCATCGATGATCACCAGTTGTAGCTGTCCATTCGCTTTGATTTGATCGACGCTTGGTGGCGTATCTGGATCGTAGACGGTGATATGTCCTTCGAGTTTGTCCTTGAGATAGTTGTAAATCTCGTGATCAGGGTTACGGGCAATCAAATGCAAATGAGTGTAGATGTTAGGAGACTCTTTGATGATGTGCATGATTAGATTCGTTTTACCTGAGAAGCTCGGACCAAGAACGATCGCTCTAAATAGGTTTGGGAAGTTCAAATTAGGATTTGTTCCTTGACTCTTTGTCTTGAACTTCTTTGGCAATTCACCGCCGTAGTTTGGAACGCTCATAATGTACTATATCATGCAGAATATACAAAAAGTAGCAAAGCTACTAAGTAACTACGTTACGAAATTCCATTACTAATCACTCCCTTACGGAAGACTTGACGTAATGTCCGGATTCGTAGCAAGACCTCCAACGTCAATTACCTACACGTACAATCAAAATGCTTTCGCGGGTAACGAAGAGTATCTAACACTTGGAGCCGCAAATCTCTTGTACTGTCCAATTCAAGATATTCGTCTTTCTTACACGAATGGAATTACTCTTGGTTCAGCAGGTCCTTCACAAGCTCTCGTGCTTGATGCAAATCGTTCGATTAATAACATCAATTCTCTCACATGTACAAACTTGTTTTCAACGAACATCTCGGGAACGCTCTCAACAGCAGCGCAAACTAACATTACATCAGTTGGGACTTTGCTTGATCTGAGAGTCAACGGGTTCATTCGACAATCCAACAATGTAACGAGCGATTCATTGCATTCGACTCGATCTGGGTCTACTTTTAAGATGACTCATTCGTTGAACGACCTTATGACGTTGGGAATGACAACAAATCACGGATTGGCATTCTGTACGAATAATGTTACAAGAATGACCATTTCAAGCTCGGGTGATGTGAGTGTTACAAATTCGTTGAGCTCTGGTGGTTTAGTTAGCTCTACAACCGCAATGACATCACCGACATTCACAGGACGACATCTTATCAATCAAGCGAGCGATACTGGCGTTTGCACTGAAGCGTCTCCTAATGCGTTTCAAATCAATTCATCTGGATCGACAGCAATTACATCGATGTGCATGTATGGTGGATGTAGTAATACGGACTCTAGTGGCTGGTTTCAAACGAGCAAGATTGGTGCTTATGGTTGGTTGACACTTCAACCTCGAGGCGGTAACGTTTTGATTGGAGCTATTACAACAACTCAACCACAAACTCTCGTCGTGAGTGGAACAACCTTTGTAACTGGAATGTGCACATTGACTAACGCTTTCATTCAATCAACGTCCGGAGTAATCACAAACAATGAAACGTCAATTAATCAATTTCAAATCCGAGATGGTCCAACAAGCGCTAGCTGCTCACTTTATCTCAATACAGATAACACCAAAATCGGAGGCGGGTCTCATGTGATGAGAGCGTCTCTCCAAGCTTCTCACATGGAAGGAGGTACTAGAGTGTTTGATACGATCTATCTCAATCCTTTGGGTGGCTCGGTATGTATAGGAGCGTTTCAAGTCTTAAATACAGACAATGCGCTACAGGTCAATGGTCGTATCGCTACGAATGACAACATCATTGTTGCGGGAACAATCTACGCAAAATCTAATAACAACTCAGATGATTTTTACAATAGCGCTATCTTTACGACTGGATCTATTTATGCAACTGGTATGATTACAAGCGCGGATATCATCAAGACCACTTCAACAGCAGCGGCTACTTCATCTATTACAGGCGCGTTACGCTCTTCTGGTGGTCTTGGCGTTGCTGGTGATACGCATATTGGCGGAACGTTGAATGTTGCGGGTGTTGCAAACTTAATGACTATTGCTACTGGAGATATCACATCTTCACGATTGATTCTCAATTCTGAGAACAATTCTATTCGTTTCAACAAACCTTCGAATGTTAATTCGTTTACACGCATTTCAGCTAATGGAGGCTTCTTCAATTCGCAATTCGACATCTACACGCAAGCAAGCACTACAAATTGGGGGACGATCGCGTCGTTCGCATTAAGAGGTATTGGAACAAATTCATCGGGACGTATGTCGTTATCGTCGTTGTATAGAAACGGGGCTACTCTCGATATCGGTAGCGATTTGAGACCTAACGCAATCTGTGTGCAACAAACTAGTGGTAATTCTTGCAATCAAATCGGCGTAAATTCAACGGCTTTCACTCTAACAAGCGCTCAATCTCTTGGGTTTACTTTTCATAGCAACACCTCGACAACTCCAGGGCAACTTGAGAATGAAGGCGTTGAGCTGGCATCGATAACTCCTCTCGGTGAAATAAGAGCAAACTCTAACTTGTTTACTCGCGCTGGGTTGCACATTGGCGGGATCAATCAAACTGTCCAAGTAACCAACTTCGGCGAGAGCGGTCATTTGATATACGCGGCTGATAGGTTTAGTATCTTCGGCTATAATTACAGTCCTTTGCAAGTCCAGCCATGGAGATCAATCTCCCTAGGCAACAATAGGTTGTTTATTCGTGATGGTAATGGAACTGGATTCATAGGTGTTGGTACAGAAACACCGTCGTTTCCCTTAGATGTTGCGTACTCAACTAGTACATCTTACTCCGGATATGGATGGTTGAACTCTGGAGGTGCTGGCAACACTGGTGGTAGCTCTGGGAGTGTCGCAGTAGGAATACGCTGCACAACACGTATCCTGGCCACAGAATTTGGGGCGACTTCAGATCGTAGATTGAAACAAGGTATTACAGACGTTGAGATTAGACATGCATATCGCTTCTTAAAAGAAGTTAAAGCTAAGCGTTATAACTGGCGTGATGGTGGCTCTAGACTTCAGTACGGTTTCATCGCACAAGATATAATCGCTTGCTCTGGGCACGCTCTAGATGACCTTGTAACACTCTCACCTAATGAGAACATAAAAAGCTCTATTAAGGGATACAGTTGGAAGACGAGCCGCCGAATATGCAACTGAGTGTTAGTTATTTAGACACTATTGCGTTACATCATCGAGCAATGGCCGACATGCTTGAACGGATTGAGATGCTCGAAAGTCGTTTGTCGTGTAGAGGCGCTGATGGACGATTTGTAAGCACAAAAAAGAATGAGCAAGTCTAAGCTTGCTCTTGCATACGTTGCTTGTGAGCGTTGCTCTTGAGATGTCGAGACTTATTGCCGCGTGAGTGTTCCATTCCGCAGATGCAAGTCATGAGTTCATTGTTGCGTGCTAGATTCTGTGTGTTAATTCGTTCGCGATTCACTTGATTGTACTCACGCGCTTTATCAAGTCGCTCGTCTTCAGTTATGTAGGCACGATTCTTATTCACACATGCGACTTGCATCATCCAAAATGTCTCTTGCATACGCATTTCGCGCCTCGTTACTTGTTCGAGCTGCTCAATTATTCTAATCTCAAACATATCCACACCATGCAAACATATGTAGGGGTGAATGGAGCACTTACCACGACCGCTTCAAGCATCGTTCTTATGCTGATTCCAGCGCGTTTCAAGAGGGTGACTCGTACTTCCAATGTATCGAATCGTCTTATCTTTACTCTCAATCTTGTAGATCGTAGCGACATCAATAAGTTCGACTGTAATAGTGCGCGGCATCTTTTTTTATCGTTTTATACAAGATCTTTTCTTGTGTCAAATACGTTGCGCGCTGGCATAAAAATATAAATCAATATCAATTCAAAATCCAGTCCTTTTTATCATACCTTAGACGTCCAATTGAATTTCACCCGTGAGCCTATCATAAGATAGAGACCTTTCATAAATGACCAAGATCAACAGCGAGCATCCTTGACACGACGAGTTAGTACCAGTCACCTGAACGCTCTGTGGTACATTCGGGTCGGTAACACGAGAGCAATCACCAACGATGTAACGATGAATAGTGGAAAACTTCTGGAAATCGATCAGGCCGTTACTGACTTCATGTGTGAGACCACCATTGATAGCGCCGAGCTTCTTAAATTCATTCTCATACAACTCGTAATCGTATTCGAGGGTTTTCGAGAACACGTTCTCGTTACCAATTTGAATTTGCATGTTTCGCAACGCCGATCCTGCTTGTACCGTCCATGGTGCTGAATCGAAAGGCGATCGGAATTGATCAGTGCCGGCTGCAGTTGCAAAATGTCCGCTCGAAGTTTCCGAGAACGGCACCGCAATCACATGCTTGATTTTCTTATGAAAAGCAGACAATTGCACGTTGATTGGAGCATTCAGTTGTCGATCTTCGAGCTGACGCTAGCCCGGAGTCTGCTTCTCCTGCTGTGGCATGAAGTGGCGAGGTCTCTGGCAGACCTTCGCATGCTGTCCGAGTCTCAGAACCAAGCGCTGAAGGCCCAACTCGTCGAGCATGAAGCGCTGGTTCGAGAGATGTATCACTGGACCGCCACGTATCACATCAAGGTATGTACGCCCTCAACCACCGTATACATATGCATATGCCATTTGCAGCCTTCCCTAGACCACAATCGCACCTCGTGGAGGCACGCGTCGCTGCTGAACGACCCGGCCACGCGAAAACTCGGCAAGGAGTGGATCACAGAGCACATGTTCCACAACACCGACGCCATCTTTCATCAGTACGGCTTCCCGCCTCGGGAATCGTTCGAGCACCTTCTACACGACTTCAACTTTACCTTCGACGATAACGGGTATTGCGTGACCGCG